CTCAGAACCATCAAAAAACGTTGAAATATAGTTCAAATTCAATAAAAATCGACAAAAATACAGTTTCTAGCTAAAATTTGATGGTTTCGTTGCACTTTCCGAGCCCGTAGGGTATCTGATTGGCTTAAAAGTACAAGAAAACACTTCAGAAGTGACGTTTCTGAAGAATTTTAACAGTTTTCTTGTATCTACGAACGCCAGAATTCATAAAATTGACCTAAACGTCTCCTTTTCCTATTCTGAGTCGATTCTGCATGCTTTAAGTGTGTTTGGTGGCTCAGAACCATCAAAAAACGTTGAAATATAGTTCAAATTCAATAAAAATCGACAAAAATACAGTTTCTAGCTAAAATTTGATGGTTTCGTTGCACTTTCCGAGCCCGTTGGGTATCTGATTGGCTTAAAAGTACAAGAAAACACTTCAAAAGTGACGTTTCTGAAGAATTTTAACAGTTTTCTTGTATCTACGAACGCCAGAATGCATAAAATTGACCTAAACGTCTCCTTTTCCTATTCTGAGTCGATTCTGCATGCTTTAAGTGTGTTTGGTGGCTCAGAACCATCAAAAAACGTTGAAATATAGTTCAAATTCAATAAAAATCGACAAAAATACAGTTTCTAGCTAAAATTTGATGGTTTCGTTGCACTTTCCGAGCCCGTAGGGTATCTGATTGGCTTAAAAGTACAAGAAAACACTTCAAAAGTGACGTTTCTGAAGAATTTTAACAGTTTTCTTGTATCTACGAACGCCAGAATGCATTAAATTGACCTAAACGTCTCCTTTTCCTATTCTGAGTCGATTCTGCATGCTTTAAGTGTGTTTGGTGGCTCAGAACCATCAAAAAACGTTGAAATATAGTTCAAATTCAATAAAAATCGACAAAAATACAGTTTCTAGCTAAAATTTGATGGTTTCGTTGCACTTTCCGAGACCGTAGGGTATCTGATTGGCTTAAAAGTACAAGAAAACACTTCAAAAGTGACGTTTCTGAAGAATTTTAACAGTTTTCTTGTATCTACGAACGCCAGAATGCATAAAATTGACCTAAACGTCTCCTTTTCCTATTCTGAGTCGATTCTGCATGCTTTAAGTGTGTTTGGTGGCTCAGAACCATCAAAAAACGTTGAAATATAGTTCAAATTCAATAAAAATCGACAAAAATACAGTTTCTAGCTAAAATTTGATGGTTTCGTTGCACTTTCCGAGCCCGTAGGGTATCTGATTGGCTTAAAAGTACAAGAAAACACTTCAAAAGTGACGTTTCTGAAGAATTTTAACAGTTTTCTTGTATCTACGAACGCCAGAATGCATAAAATTGACCTAAACGTCTCCTTTTCCTATTCTGAGTCGATTCTGCATGCTTTAAGTGTGTTTGGTGGCTCAGAACCATCAAAAAACGTTGAAATATAGTTCAAATTCAATAAAAATCGACAAAAATACAGTTTCTAGCTAAAATTTGATGGTTTCGTTGCACTTTCCGAGCCCGTAGGGTATCTGATTGGCTTAAAAGTACAAGAAAACACTTCAAAAGTGACGTTTCTGAAGAATTTTAACAGTTTTCTTGTATCTACGAACGCCAGAATGCATAAAATTGACCTAAACGTCTCCTTTTCCTATTCTGAGTCGATTCTGCATGCTTTAAGTGTGTTTGGTGGCTCAGAACCATCAAAAAACGATGAAATATAGTTCAAATTCAATAAAAATCGACAAAAATACAGTTTCTAGCTAAAATTTGATGGTTTCGTTGCACTTTCCGAGCCCGTAGGGTATCTGATTGGCTTAAAAGTACAAGAAAACACTTCAAAAGTGACGTTTCTGAAGAATTTTAACAGTTTTCTTGTATCTACGAACGCCAGAATGCATAAAATTGACCTAAACGTCTCCTTTTCCTATTCTGAGTCGATTCTGCATGCTTTAAGTGTGTTTGGTGGCTCAGAACCATCAAAAAACGTTGAAATATAGTTCAAATTCAATAAAAATCGACAAAAATACAGTTTCTAGCTAAAATTTGATGGTTTCGTTGCACTTTCCGAGACCGTAGGGTATCTGATTGGCTTAAAAGTACAAGAAAACACTTCAAAAGTGACGTTTCTGAAGAATTTTAACAGTTTTCTTGTATCTACGAACGCCAGAATGCATAAACTTGACCTAAACGTCTCCTTTTCCTATTCTGAGTCGATTCTGCATGCTTTAAGTGTGTTTGGTGGCTCAGAACCATCAAAAAACGTTGAAATATAGTTCAAATTCAATAAAAATCGACAAAAATACAGTTTCGAGCTAAACTTTGATGGTTTCGTTGCACTTTCCGAGCCCGTAGGGTATCTGATTGGTTTAAAAGTACAAGAAAACACTTCAAAAGTGACGTTTCTGAAGAATTTTAACAGTTTTCTTGTATCTACGAACGCCAGAATGCATAAAATTGACCTAAACGTCTCCTTTTCCTATTCTGAGTCGATTCTGCATGCTTTAAGTGTGTTTGGTGGCTCAGAACCATCAAAAAACGTTGAAATATAGTTCAAATTCAATAAAAATCGACAAAAATACAGTTTCTAGCTAAAATTTGATGGTTTCGTTGCACTTTCCGAGCCCGTAGGGTATCTGATTGGCTTAAAAGTACAAGAAAACACTTCAAAAGTGACGTTTCTGAAGAATTTTAACAGTTTTCTTGTATCTACGAACGCCAGAATGCATAAAATTGACCTAAACGTCTCCTTTTCCTATTCTGAGTCGATTCTGCATGCTTTAAGTGTGTTTGGTGGCTCAGAACCATCAAAAAACGTTGAAATATAGTTCAAATTCAATAAAAATCGACAAAAATACAGTTTCTAGCTAAAATTTGATGGTTTCGTTGCACTTTCCGAGCCCGTAGGGTATCTGATTGGCTTAAAAGTACAAGAAAACACTTCAAAAGTGACGTTTCTGAAGAATTTTAACAGTTTTCTTGTATCTACGAACGCCAGAATGCATAAAATTGACCTAAACGTCTCCTTTTCCTATTCTGAGTCGATTCTGCATGCTTTAAGTGTGTTTGGTGGCTCAGAACCATCAAAAAACGTTGAAATATAGTTCAAATTCAATAAAAATCGACAAAAATACAGTTTCTAGCTAAAATTTGATGGTTTCGTTGCACTTTCCGAGACCGTAGGGTATCTGATTGGCTTAAAAGTACAAGAAAACACTTCAAAAGTGACGTTTCTGAAGAATTTTAACAGTTTTCTTGTATCTACGAACGCCAGAATGCATAAAATTGACCTAAACGTCTCCTTTTCCTATTCTGAGTCGATTCTGCATGCTTTAAGTGTGTTTGGTGGCTCAGAACCATCAAAAAACGTTGAAATATAGTTCAAATTCAATAAAAATCGACAAAAATACAGTTTCTAGCTAAACTTTGATGGTTTCGTTGCACTTTCCGAGCCCATAGGGTATCTGATTGGTTTAAAAGTACAAGAAAACACTTCAAAAGTGACGTTTCTGAAGAATTTTAACAGTTTTCTTGTATCTACGAACGCCAGAATGCATAAAATTGACCTAAACGTCTCCTTTTCCTATTCTGAGTCGATTCTGCATGCTTTAAGTGTGTTTGGTGGCTCAGAACCATCAAAAAACGTTGAAATATAGTTCAAATTCAATAAAAATCGACAAAAATACAGTTTCTAGCTAAAATTTGATGGTTTCGTTGCACTTTCCGAGCCCGTAGGGTATCTGATTGGCTTAAAAGTACAAGAAAACACTTCAAAAGTGACGTTTCTGAAGAATTTTAACAGTTTTCTTGTATCTACGAACGCCAGAATGCATAAAATTGACCTAAACGTCTCCTTTTCCTATTCTGAGTCGATTCTGCATGCTTTAAGTGTGTTTGGTGGCTCAGAACCATCAAAAAACGTTGAAATATAGTTCAAATTCAATAAAAATCGACAAAAATACAGTTTCTAGCTAAAATTTGATGGTTTCGTTGCACTTTCCGAGCCCGTAGGGTATCTGATTGGCTTAAAAGTACAAGAAAACACTTCAAAAGTGACGTTTCTGAAGAATTTTAACAGTTTTCTTGTATCTACGAACGCCAGAATGCATAAAATTGATCTAAACGACTCCTTTTCCTATTCTGAGTCGATTCTGCATGCTTTAAGTGTGTTTGGTGGCTCAGAACCATCAAAAAACGTTGAAATATAGTTCAAATTCAATAAAAATCGACAAAAATACAGTTTCTAGCTAAAATTTGATGGTTTCGTTGCACTTTCCGAGCCCGTAGTGTATCTGATTGGCTTAAAAGTACAAGAAAACACTTCAAAAGTGACGTTTCTGAAGAATTTTAACAGTTTTCTTGTATCTACGAACGCCAGAATGCATAAAATTGACCTAAACGTCTCCTTTTCCTATTCTGAGTCGATTCTGCATGCTTTAAGTGTGTTTGGTGGCTCAGAACCATCAAAAAACGTTGAAATATAGTTCAAATTCAATAAAAATCGACAAAAATACAGTTTCTAGCTAAAATTTGATGGTTTCGTTGCACTTTCCGAGCCCGTAGGGTATCTGATTGGCTTAAAAGTACAAGAAAACACTTCAAAAGTGACGTTTCTGAAGAATTTTAACAGTTTTCTTGTATCTACGAACGCCAGAATGCATAAAATTGACCTAAACGTCTCCTTTTCCTATTCTGAGTCGATTCTGCATGCTTTAAGTGTGTTTGGTGGCTCAGAACCATCAAAAAACGTTGAAATATAGTTCAAATTCAATAAGAATCGACAAAAATACAGTTTCTAGCTAAAATTTGATGGTTTCGTTGCACTTTCCGAGCCCGTAGGGTATCTGATTGGCTTAAAAGTACAAGAAAACACTTCAAAAGTGACGTTTCTGAAGAATTTTAACAGTTTTCTTGTATCTACGAACGCCAGAATGCATAAAATTGACCTAAACGTCTCCTTTTCCTATTCTGAGTCGATTCTGCATGCTTTAAGTGTGTTTGGTGGCTCAGAACCATCAAAAAACGTTGAAATATAATAATAATAATAATAATAGCCATGACGATATACAACGCTCTAGGCCCGTGCCATTATTACACATCTTAGCAGGCGAAGGGGGTACACCGGCCTAAGAGTTTAATGGCTTTATAGTGATTCTACTCATATTCAGATGGCGATGAAGTTGGTAAGTCAGAAATGGCATAACACAATTTGTGTGTGTCTCAGCTAGTCTCTTAGGCCCGAATATTCTCTAGCCCCGTGGAACGTTTATGTGTTATCCTGACTGTGTTGAAAAATTTACCAGGATGTCTACTTGGACATTGACAACTCCACCATCATATTATAATTAACATTTATACAAAATATTGTAAACATGAAAGCTTGAATAAATCTATTTGATTTAAAATTCGGAAATTGATATGTTTTCATGTAATTAAACGAAAAATTGAGCAAGGTTGGTTGCATACTACATTCGCAATGATTTGCAACACTTACAACAGAACACAGCGGCTTTACAATTAAGCTTTCATCTTGAGAACAGCAATGCAAATCTTAAGTTTTATATTTTCGTTTATTTAGTCTCGAATTCAACGGTTTTGCAATTCTGCATTCCTGTTTGCAGAAAGCAATTACTTGCACGTTTGTGTTTACTCTCGAGTTAAAAATACGAGCTGTGAATTTAAGACATTTTTTATTATATTATAAAATTTAATACAATATTAACATGTAAAGTCAGTGTTTAAAATTACAAAAATATCAAAAATTATCACAACTTGTAAACAAAACAAAAAAAAAACAAAAGAGACAGCTGATCCACTAGTTTCATCTTCGCTTAGTTCTCTGATACTGGATCCAGTTGTACACGTCTCGACCACTGCGATCAGAGAAGAGCTGGTTCGTTTCAACAAATTCTGCACACAGCTTCGGTGGTGCCAAATGACCCCTGGATATGTATTGCGAAAAATGTCTCTGCATTAAAGACATTTGCTCTGAGGTGAATGGTTTCTTTCCTCTTCTCTTTACAGGAGTTATTTGCAATTTCTGCTTTATCTCCGCGATTGTCGTTTTTCTTGGTGATTTCTGCGATTTTGGTGACTTCGTGTTCAAAGTTCCCCTGTGACTCGATATTTTTTTCTTTGGTGTTTCAATCCTCCGGTCTTCAGTACTGGCTCTCGCTATAAAAAATATCAGCAATGATATACAATTTTCTAGACTTTTCAGCATACGTACCCCCTACTTTTTCAGAAAGCGCTTCTTGTGTAGTATGTGTAACTTTGTCACACTTTCGACGATCCGAAGGCACTTCAGTAATATTGTCTGTAGTATAACATTCTATCACACCTGATTGTGAGACTTGAGTGTCTGTTGATACCTCCTGCATGAGGTTCGTTTCCATTCTGTTGATTGTACTTTCTGTTGAACAGGTAGTTTCAAACGAATCCAAACTGAGATTGTCTCCTAATAATTCTTCAGAGGTAATATGATCGTCTAACGCCGGATCCTCTTCAGGTACTGGTAAATCTTGTGCAATAGTGAGTATTTCGTCGAGACTTTTACCTCTGTATGAAAAGAGTTCTTCTCCATCTACGATAGTCAAAAATTTTGCCCACCCTGTTAGTTGAAATAAAAGTTCGTCTTGTCGATATACTTGTTCATGGACTTTCTGACTATGACCCATCAATTTTGCAATCTGACCGATTTCATTGTCATTCATTGTTAACAATTGGGAAAGGGTTGCGACTTGTTTTCTTAAATAAGTGGAACGTAAAAGATGCGGTTCTTCAGCACCACATTTCTCTGAGTAATCTCTTAAAACAACTGAAGCATCGATAAACATCGCTCTCGTAGGTATACCAAAAAGGTAATTGTTTGAATAGGGAACACCAGCTTCTTTTCGATATTGGAGAAACATATCTAGATACCTACAACACAATCAAAAATCTTTTAAAAAGTAGAAAAATCAAAGTACTCATTTACCTGCATTGATTTTCGTCCAACAGCACATGTAATATATGTAGACGCTTTCCAATCAAAGTCATAACTTTGTATTTATTCGCTAACTCCCGTTGATACATTGGAAGGGATTGAAGTATTTCATCATCAAGTTCGATTTTTTTGTTATACAATTCCAACGACATACTTGCAACTTCACTGACTCTACGTCTATTGTACACAATAACTCTTGCCAACGCAGCCTTTCCTAATTTTAGCCATGTGTCGAAATCGAAACCGTCCTGTAACCGTTGATACGCCTGCTCCGCTTCAGAAACTATCAATGTGGAAAATAATTTAACGTCCTTTGCCTTTGGTAAATTATGTAATTTGGCTGCTTTTCTTTGCAAGCTGGTTCGACCAGCTGACCTGCCAACATAGATTCCATAGTTTTTATCATGGAGAGTTTTGAAATTGTCGAAACGGCCACGCTCTTCACATTGTGTGGGAAGATTATGAGTTAAATAATCAACGTTAAGTGCGTCTAAAAGAAATGTAATACTCGATCGTAAAGCTTTTGCCAGACTTGGCTTTCCAAACTCGCCTGTTTCCTTGTCAAGTGAACACAAATTGAAAACTCCCTCTAGTAAGGCATCATAACCTCCATAGAGTATCAGATCTTCAAAATCCAGAATGGAGGGGTTTATGTCTTTAACATCTAAAATCAATCGTGCCATTCTACGCAAATGTTGGCGATCGTTCTTTAATGCGCTGTATGAACCACGATGCATTAAGGAATATCTTTCAGCAACAAGTTTCAAACATTTATCTTCTAATATCTCGTGTAGAATTAGCCCAACTTGAACAGGCTCTAAGAAAGCGAGAAAAAGTTTCTGACTGAAAGAATTCGCTGTAAATTCCTTCTGGATAATCTTAAAGCGAGCTTCTTTAAGCACATTTCTTCTATTTGGTGGCCGTCCAGTACATTTGCGTTCATGTCGAGCAAAGTTTCTGGTCATTATTTCACCAAAACAATTTGGGCAAGTAATTAAATTGGAGGCTTGTCCTGTCACTACTCTCCTTATAGCAATTTTTTCCTCACAGGTGGCATTTTTGTTAAAATTATAATCACCCTTTCGCCTGATCTCTCGTAACGCAGCATTCCGTTCCACACTATTAGCTTTCATAGTCATAATATTTTTCACTTCTTCCTGATCTTTGTGTTTTCGAAGAATATGTGAAGACATTTCAACAAAAAACTGTTCACAGAAATAACAACAATGGCGTTTTCCTTTGGTTTTTGACGTTAATGGGTTTACTAGGGCAGAAGAACCACAATCCATAATTAACGGTGTTATGAACTTACGTTCCTCTTCAATCGGCAGTTCCTCCCCTATTAATTTTCCGACGGGGAGACAGTAACGAACTTTCACTTGGATTTCACGTTCGCCAAAATTTCTAGACAGCAGCACAAGTGTTCTGTTTTTGTCGGAAAGTTTATTACCTACAACAAAAATTAAACTTCGATTTGCATTTTTTTGTTACTATACATACATTTATGGTCTGTCGCGGGCAAACCAGAATACAAAAATCCGCTGATGGTATTGTCATCTCCACTGCAAGCATCACAAACGTAATGCCCTTCATGTAAAACGGTGTGTATCTTCATTGAAACGAAACATTTCTTTATATAAATGGTCAAATGAGCGGAAATCCTGCAGTTTGATTCTTCAACAGGCGAAACCAATGGCGTAAACATCAAGTCAAAGTCTTCATTGCGGTTCGAGGTAGTGGGCATTGAAGAACTACTTGAACTTTGTCCTTCTATAAATATTTGAAAAATTATTAGAACATTATAAACGACTAATATTAGGTATAACGTAAGTTGTAAAAATCTCTACAGATGAGAGTAACTTACTTTTCAAATGGCATTGCATACATTATTTATTGGGTTGTTCCAGAGAATTATACAGGGTTAGTATAAAGTCCCGAAACGTTTGAATAACTTTGTTATTTGAAAAGTTTTTTTTTCTGAAATTTGCTTTGGATGTATAATTAAACATGGCAACTTTAATGGAACACCCAGATGTTGTTTCACTAGAAATAAACAAGTTGATAATTTCTGAAATTAGTTTTTTATTCTGCATCAGAAAATGCCAAAAAACCTGTATGTTGTAATCAATGCAATCAATGTTGTAGGTATATATCCAAAAAAAATTTCAGCAAAAAACTTTTCAAATAAAGTTATTCGCCCGTTCCGGGACTTTATACTAACCCTGTATATTAAAATATACTACATTTAGGTATCAGGCATAGCTAGAAAAAATTTTTCTAGTTATTTAAAAAAAAAAGTTTTGGTATGCCAAAAGTCTTATTTGCAACTTACATAACACCCGATTGGTGGTTTGGAGTTTAACATTTGAGTTAAGAAAAGATTTTTCAGATGGACGAATAAAAATATGTGATGGATGTGTGTAAGTTGTTTGTTTTCAAAAATGTGTAATATTGGTTTATGTTTATGCACGAAAGTATATTGGAAATAGCATATGTATAATGTATAGGTAATTAGTGTTACATGTGTTATGTAAGTTACGTTTATTATGTTAAGTTAGGTACTAATCATTTTTATAGCATCTTTGGAAATGTTAGCAAGAAAGCTAACGAAAAAAAATTGACATTTTAATAAAATTGATCAGAATCCGAGAAAATAGAAACCTGAGTTTAAGACAAGAGTAAAAAAATCTAAGTCGGCCATTAAAAAGACGTTTTGGATTTTTTTTACAAAAAGCCTGAATATTTCGTAATTATAATTACTTAATGAAATACCTACCTCCTTCAAACAATCTTTTCTTGCAAGTCTGTAACTGAGACTTCGTGTGCTCAGATGTTTCGCCATTTTCATCGCTTTCTTCTGACACTTCAGAAGTTGGCTCATATTCTTCGTCGGTAGCATTACTTTGGAAAGGTTCTTCGTCGCTGTCACTTATCTCGTATCGGCTGCAGGGTACGTATTCAAAAACGATCTCTTCTATTGGTCGCACCAAATCAACTTGCCAACATTCTGTGTCCTCTAAATGTTGTTTTGCCAATTTCAAAACATTCAGATCTATAGAAGAAGATTGACATGAAATAGATTGATTATAAAGAGTAGAAATGAGTTACCTGAACTACTCATTATAACATTGTCCAGCATCCTTTTTTTGAGTGTTTTATGCCATATTTGAAAGATTTTAGGAGTTCCCTCTGAATATGTCAGGTGATGGGTAAGACGTTTTTTTTTTCTGAAAAATAAGTGATGAACTCGTTAAGACCATAACACAAACACTGGTTCTAAAATTTCTTGGGCGAAACGAAAAAGAAAAAATGCGAAAACATGACAATTTTTTGCTTTGAGCCAGATACACCTTGCCACATATTGGTGTATCGAACTTTTGAAATATCGTGTTTTAATTTTTTTGTTTTGAAGCAAGAAAACAAAATTC